GACTGTTAATATCTAACTTAGGCAATCTTGCAAGAATGAAACTGGTAGCATATAGTGATGCAGGATTTGCTGGACTTAACAATGGAGGATCTCAAGCAGGATACATTGTCTTTATTGTGGGTGACAATGATAGTTATATTCCTATTTCTTGGCAATCTCATAGAGTCAAGAAAGTTGTGAAAAGTATGCAGACAGCAGGAACACTTGCTATTGTTCATGCACTTTTTATAGAAAATATCTCGTAGAACTTTTATGCATTGAAGACAAGCCGGAAAATCTTCCAGTATTATGTAAAACTATCAATGCAGGCCTATCTGAGTCACTAATCGACTCAAATATTTGATGAAAGGCTGAGAATGGAAACTGCAATTATTTTTGAAATGCTTGAACAAAAGATAATACATAAACTAGAATGGATTTCCAGTTCAATCCAAGTTGTGGATTGCCAAAGAGAGGTGTCTCTTCTAATAAGATTCTGGATCATGTATATGAGCCTAGTATCTCTCTTTAAAAAAAAAAAAGAAAAAAAAAAGTACATTAAAACATGTGTGATAAATAAGCTGCCACTATGGTTTATGTGAAAAGGGGGAGAGCTGTTAACAGTGCTGACTCCTACCATCCTTGGTGTTATATAGGAATACAGTGTCACTGCCACCACTTGAGTTTGAACATAGATCACTAGTGAGCAAACACAGGCAGTGACATTATTGAATTAAGTAGATTACACAACCATAGAGGAAATATACATATATATATATATATATATATATATATATATATATTAAAGACATTTTTTATGTTTAACGTTGTTATTTTATAGATACAAGTATTTAAGCAAATGCTCTGTTTATGATAAACAGTATTAAATAACATTTACCGGCCTGAATGTCAAGAAATTTTCATAGAAAATATTCGTTCTTTGACAGGATTCGAACCTGCATCCCTATACGGAACCGTCATATACGCTGGACGTGCCTTACCTGTAGGCTACAAAGAAGCGTTCGGTAGACAAGGTCGAATTTATATATATATATAGGGATTATCGTGACAACTATTGATCTGCACATTTCTAGTCTATCATCTATTACTATTTGGATCTGTATTTCTAGTCTATCCTTTATACTATACAGATCGCTATTTCTATTCTATCCTCCATTGCTATACGGATCACTATTCTCTTCTCTGCAGTATTCTCTATATGGATTACTATTTGATTGTGTATTATCGAGCAAGTAATATTTGTGAAAGTGTTATTCGAAGGTGTCTGACACCAGTATTGTTCAATAGCAAACTGTAGTTTGTATCTGTGATTACAAAGTCTACTACAACAAGCATTTGTTGGCATTACAAAAGTGACAGTGAGTGTTTGTTGACATTACAAAATTTGGCTAACAGATTAGACACCTACTCCACAGCCTAATGGATGTATTTTAAGCAGTGGCAGTAGCTTATTTCCCTTCCTGCCAAAGTGGATTTAACGATTAGGCAGTATTTAAGTTTTTTTGAAATTTCTCATCAGAGAACATTTTTCTTTTATTTGGTGAAGTGCTGTCACTCTGTTAATTGAGCAAGATCCTGTTTTAACAATATATTGCAAATGGAAACCATTTCATTCAAGCTAGATTTGATTAAACCTTTCACCATTTTAGTCTTTGTTGGGAGTCTGTAATTTATATTACACACACACACACACACACACGGTAAGATAAAGGAAAAAATAGGAAACATCAACCTAACATGTTTCACTTTTATTAAAGTTTCATCAGAAAATGAGAAAACTGACAAAATGATAGAAATTCTGGTATTTTCAATTTTGTGTTGTTTGATTTTCATTGGTCAGTTGTGTATCACTTCTTAATATTTATTCTTGTGTGTAATATAGTGGTCTCCAGGTAACTGATAACAATATCAAATTGTAATTCCAAGATAAACATTAGAAAATATCAGTATATTAAAAATATATGTGTACATGTTTGAAATATTATTCAATAAAACTTCTGTCTGCCTCAAGAATGTGCTTAATAGCTATATTGGAGGGAGACAGTGACACTGACCCTGAGACCCTGGAAAAAAAAATTGAATGGCATGACATGACCTTCATTACTCTTGCCCCTAAGGCCATCATAGATTATGCAAAATTGGAGTCACTTCTTTAGGTTTTTGTGCTGAGTTTTGTGGGGTCAGTCTATCCAGGTTTTAGGTAGAAAAATAAAATCTGAGTGTCATGTTCACAAATACAACTCAAAATTATAAACAACCGAAAGAAATGAACTTCACAGAAAAGGAAGATGACCAAGCTTAATATGACAGTAACATTTATGCAGTCAGATACATGTATTTACATATTAAAAATCAATGTTCTTTGTTGTGGACATGAAGAGACCAATAGTTTGATTGTTTGAAGTGATTTTGTTGCAAGTGAGGAAATCAAGTGGTATGGTATTTCAATATGTGTGTGTGAAGCACACACCTATGAAACGTTTATGACTGCTAACTGATTGCGTGCAATAGCAATAATTTTAAAACAGTGAGAAAAGAGAGGGGAGAAAAGGCTTATTTTCGTTATGGCGTTGTATGTAGAAAAATCATTGCTGACTGATGTGTTGTCATAGTACATGTGTTTATGTTGTTGATTGAGGTAGGATCTGGTTCGCTGTTTTTCACTAACTGTCCTTCACTGACTAATTTTCACTGTTAACAGCAAGCTATTTTTATGGTGAGCCAGTGCTTGGCTCACAAATCCTATGTGGGAATGTACTCAGTAACCCTCACCCTGACCCATTTCCAGGTTATTTGGAGTTCAACCCATCCAATCAGATTCCAGAAACCACTTATTTAATTTGGAGTTCTGTTTGTGCAAAATTGTCAAAAAGTTTTTTTGCATCTATTGAATTTAGTAAGATTTATTTCTAGGCATCTCTTATTTATGCTTCACTTATTGGCTGTAAAATGTAGGAGTTTATATCCTATAGCTTCTTATCTTTCCTCCTGTTCACTTTACCACTTTTAAGAAGTGAGCAATTCACAAGTCTCTGTGGTTGCCTAAGTTAGTGCCACCAGCATGGTGTACCATTTTATTTCTTGTTTTTTCTGCCATGATAAGGCTCTTGATATATCTGGAAAGAGAAATGAGAATTGGAAGCTTTGCCACAAGAAGGATAACGATCTATTTGGCCTTCCATTTTTGGCCAACTAAACGTTTGTCCTCAAATTACCATTGCATACAATCTGTATGGATGATGGATTCTGCCGTCGAGAATAGCAAATGAGGTTTCAGTAAATTCTAAGTTTATTTTTACTGAACAACCTGCACAAGTGAATTGTTAAAGTGGTCAATTGCTTTTGCCTTGCAATGCACACACTTTCTATCATAGCACCATGTCCTGTACTGGCACACTGTGTGCCACATGTCAGATGATGCTACAGTTGCAGGCTGTTTTGGATACGAGTTTTCCATCTCCTATTTGCATGCTGGTCATTAATTCATGTAAGAATCCCATTTGCCCTTTGCTAACCTTCTCCAGGCTTGTTTGGATTGAGTTTTCCTTCTTCTAGATTGGTCTAATTAAATAATAAACTAATTAACAAACCACACCCACCAAAATAACCATTAGTATAATACAATATACCACCCATGGTGCAATAGAATACTCAACAATGCATAACAGACCTGTATATATAAATATGTATATATAAAAAGTAGAGCAAAAACACCTGACAATTGCAGTAAGCATAAAACAAAATCTTGCTTTTGGATATTGACTTCAGTGTCCACTATTATATTTTTTTATTTACATACGCTCTATCCCTGATATTTAACTTAACCTATAAATAACTTTATACTATAATACTATATTTCATCATATATATATATATATATATATATATATATATATAATCACCACCTGCCTAACAGTGAAAATTAGTCAGTGAAAAACAGCAAACCAGATTTCCCTGACGACCCACTTAGGTGAAACCTTGTTAGGTTTGTCTGGCTCTTTAGTTTTGACTAGGTCTGCTCTACTTTTGTATTGAGCACTTTTAAATTAGTTGATTACTTGTATCAGGGTTTTTTTCTTTGGGCTTTGGACCTGTATGCTGTACAATTATTTTCAACAGACATTCATGTTCATAGGTCTTTCTTTTTTTAAAACATTTTTTTCCTTTGAGATTGATTTGACCATTAGCAAATCAAGAAACCAAAGGTTTTCCGAGATGAGTGTAGTTACCTATATATATATATATATATATATATATATATACACACACACACATATATACATTAGGGATGAAAAAAGTAGTTGGACACTTAGAAAAATATTTAATTGACTTTCTCAGCATAAAGTTGACTTAAATTATTGGAGGTAATGGAATTTGTTACAAAATTTGTGAGTATGAAAATGATAAAAACTAATTTCATGATCTTAAGAGGAAAGCAAAAGTAGAAAGACCATTTGGCTACCTGAATCTAACAGCATTAACTTTCAGCTGTTGTTTGGAAAATTTTTTTTTTTTTTTTTTTACAAGACTTTGCAAATATTTAGAAACCTTTTTGGCAAAACTTGATTTGCTATTCACTGCATGTAACCTTGAAATCTTCACCCTTTATCAGATCCATTTGATGAATGGATTTCTTCAAAGCATCTCATCAGTTTTCTACAATGCACCTGCAGCCACTTCTACAATATTCCATCCAAACTGTTATCAAGTTGATTTTATTCAATTGTTTGGATAATGGTCTTCTTGGAAACTTCAACTTTCTTTCATCCTCTGCTCGTGTGTCAAAGAATAAGTGATCCTTCAGTATATATTCTCATATAGTGTTATCTTCTTTTCATCTTGTTCAAAAGACTTTTGATTGATTGATTAAATAACTGCTGTTGGAATTATAGAGTCAGTGTAAATACTCCACAATCTTTCATTAGCTGCATAGTTTGTGCTTTGCCGGGGCTACATACGGTTTTGAATTTTTCCTTCTCCTTGACTGAATGCATAGGCTTATGACCATGTCATGTTAAAACACTAGTTCTTGTCTGACCACCAAAGTTAAGCAACATTGAGCTTGGTCAGTACCTAGATGGGTGACAACTTGGGAATAGTAGGTGTTGTAATAGATAACAGCACAAAATTAGTAATCAGTAGGGTTCATGATATTTTTCTGCACATATACACTAGGGAAAAGTATGAATCCACCTCTCTTCTCTCTGGCTATGGGTTAATTAATAGGATTTGTATCAGTAAATTATTATTATTATTATCTACAAAAAACTTATCTTAAAAACATATTTTAAATATGGCATGCAGAAGGTTGATAAGCCATAAAAGACAAATAAATCAATTATTAAACCTAGACAGATTGCCAACCAATTCTGTTTTACAATTTAATCTATAGCTGGGGATGAAGAGATAAATTCTTTACCTGTCCTAATGGTATTTATACAAAACTGAATGTAAGAAGCTGGTATTTGAACTCATTCTCTTATTTCTGATTCTGAGTGATTACACCACCAACACCTTCATAAAAAAAACATATTTTACAAAGATGGCATTATGAAGCTTGTGATTTTTGAAAATAGGTTATCATAATAATGGAACTAATGTTTATAAATTATAATTAAACATGCAGTTTTTCATTTTTGAAAACCTAAATTCATGTATACTTCTTTTATGTGTTGCGTCTATTCAGGACATAAGTAATCATGGCCCTGTGCATCTTATTCTTTGTAACACTTAGCAATACTTGTCTTTTCACTGTATCTTCCACTTCCAATTTTGTCACACATTTATCTAAGCTTGTTAGTAGGTTACTTTCTATTTCTCTTTATTTCCTTTGTCTTCAATATATCCTATGAGTGTTAAATTCACCAAACATTTTTCCTTATGTGTCCCTGAAATTTTGACTGGCCCTTTCTCATCCCATAAGTGTCTTTTTTTTTTATTTCCATTTTCAGCTTTGTTATTTCTCACATACTCCATCCATGATAATTTCAGCATCTGTCTGTAGAACGATATTCCTGTTGTCTTCAGTTTTCTCTTCATCTTTGAGGAAATTGTCCAGTATTCATTGTCATATAGAAGGATTGATATTACATAGCTATTTAAGAGTCTCTTCTTTCATTTCTAATGAAATTTTCTTGTTATGTCATACATTGTTCAGTTTTCATACACCTTTGCATTTCAGTCCCATATTTTCCATTGTCTGTTAAAAGACTTTCTAATTATTTAAATTTCTGTATTTGTTTGACTTTGACAACTGAAATTCAAACATTACTTATGAGATAAACCAATATTTATAGTTATGTAACATCTTTTTCACAATATTAGAGAAATTTTAGAAGGGTTTGTAATGATTATCTTTTATTGCTTATGGTATTAGTAAATCATTCATAAGTTTTAAGAAAAGTCAGAAGCTAAGGAAATGAATATTGATCAGTTTTTAAACAGTTTTAATTCTCTTGTTTGACACACAAAAATGGTCTTTGCAAAATGTAATCTCTGGCAAAAATAGATATAAGAATCTAAAATAAAAAGAGATGGGCAGCAGCCAACATGAAATCTCCAGGGGGAGAAAAGTCTCTTTTTGTTTGTTAGGATTCAAAGGAATTTTTTTTATTACAGTTATTATATTGAATCAATTGCTAGGTCTGCTGCTGTGTTGGGCGAGACAATTTTTCTTGCCAGAATCTATTTTAGACCTTTATAAGTCTAACATTCATCCATGAATTGAATATTGCTATCACATCTCATCTGGTGCTTCAGACTATGTATCTAGAGATTCTTGATAACTCTCCCCCCACCTAACACCAAATTAGCAATTTTATCAGTCCTGACTCTAAGTTTTAGTCGCTTTCCTTATGCTGTAACATAACTTCTCTGTACCTTTTTTTTTATATTTTCAGAGTAACTGTTCTAACAAGCTTTCTTCTTTGCTGCCTTGACTTTACAGTTTTAACTGCAGCCCAGTTTCATGATTTTACAGTTAAAATTGTTAGATGTAACCACGTCCTATGCTAATAATTTCTTCTTTCACACTTTTCATTTGTGAAACTTTCTTCTGATTTTTTTTTGCTTTTCAGTCAACTTTGATCTTCAAAGATTTAAATGTAATGTCAATTGTCATCTGTCTCCTTAAACCATGTTCTTTTATTGTTCTCTTTCCTTAATAATCATTTTCTCAGATTCTTTCACTTTCAGTAATCCCTTGCATCTTAGTGGCTTTATTTCCTCTTCTTGGGGTGAAATGATTAAAAATATTTACAAATTGTTAGACTCTTGACAATATGTTGTTGGCTCATTTGGCGTGTTAGACATTGTGAGAGAAAAGACATTTTCCCTTGACAGGGATATTAAACAGTGAATATTCTGCAGGGCAATGCATGTCCATCTGTTGCTACAGATATTATGTAGAAATCGGGAAGCTGGTATGGGAAGTTCTTCCACATGCATTGTATTCTGCAGACTTGTAACTTTTAAAATATCACATCTTTTCATCCATGCAGCACTCTTCATCTGGTCACTAGCTCCAAGAACTTCAAGATAATACTTCTTGATGAATTCACCAAATCTAGAACTATTCTTTTATGATAGAAGATGCAATTTCGGTGAAAGGTTATAGAAATTCAGGGAAACTATAATAATAACAATAAAGATGAGAGTGAAACAAAATAAATAAACAAAAAATTGAGAGAAGCTGTAAGGGAAAATAATACTAATGCTATGAATTTATTGGATTTAAAAGAATATAAATTCAGAAAACTTTATAACAATCAATGCTAGTTTCAATCTAGGAATGACTTCTAAAAACATCTCCCTCTCCAAATTTATAGACAAATCATGCAAATGCATACTGGGATTTCTTCCTAGCCAATAAGATAGATCACTTCTTAACTTAATCTGCTGTATTTTTGTTCTTTCTTGTCTTGAAGTCAGAATGCTGTGACCAATTGTCTGTATCCCTTTTGTGTGTCAACACCAATTCTTACTTTGTGAACTTTTTGCCTTATTATTGTTGCTTTGCCTACTTTTGTCTTGCATCTGTATTGTTTGTTTAGTATTATTTTATTCTGTTCTTGTTTTTTGTTACTGTTTATTAGAAACTTTGTCAATTCCATTTGTTAGTCATTTCTGACAGTTACACTAAACTATGGCAAATCAATAACCAAAGATGTGTATAAGCATTTATTAGACATCAAAAGGGTTAAAAAGGTCCTCATATGTATATATATATATATATATATCGTGCGATGGGTAAATTGTCGCCATTTTATATTTTCAATTTCACACATGTGTGTTGTTTTTATTTTGGAGACTGGACAATATAGTTAGGATGACTTGGCACTGAACACCATGATGCAATTCACTCCGGCAGAAATTTGGAAATGGCATGCTGTACTGCTTGGCATTCTCACTGGAAGTTTCAATTTCAGAGTGAGTGTCAATCTGAGGACAGTGCAGAGGATGCTGTGTCCCCAAAAGATGTAGTGAAAATGATGTAAAACAAATATCCAGTCAACATCATGGTGTATGGAGTGATCACTAGTGTTGGCAATGTTATGCTTCCATTTGTCTTTTCACAGGGCGTCATACTCAACACAGATGCCTACATCAAGTGCTTTGAGGAGGTAGTACTGCTCTGGTTCAAGAGGGGTGACTGCTGAAAAACCCTATATCTGGCAACAGGACTCTGCACCATGCCACACAAGCAGGAGAACACAGTCATGGCTGTTGGGAGATTTCTGCAACCATATCACCCCTTACATCTGGCCACCTAACTCCCCAGACTGCAACCCCCTTGATTCTTATGTGTATAGTGCAGTTGAGCGAGAGGCCAACAAAACTCTTTGTAATACCAAAGATGAACTGAAGGCAAGGATTATGGCAGCATTCACCAACTTAAACAAAGAGACCATCCAGAAGACTTACAGGAGATTCTGAAGTCATCTGGAGCCTGTGGCTGAAGCCAATGGCGATTTTATTGAATAAGTTTACTTTTAGTATTTCAAGATATTTTTGTGTAATTTTGATAAATATATATTAAAATGATATCTCAGTGTTATTTTTATTTTTGAGTAATTTATGCAACAATTTATCCATTGCACCCTCTGTGTGTGTGTGCACACACATATATTTATATATATATATATATATATATATATATATATAATAGGTAAGTTACAATTCCAATATTCCAATAATTTTGAAAAAAAAAGAACCCAATACAGAGTAGAGCAAAATATTATTTATTTTAGGATATTAAAACAAAAAGATGTTAAAAATCGCTACATTGCAATTTTTAACATGTTTTTGTTTTAATGTCTTAAAATAAATAATCTCTCTCTCTCTCTATATATATATATATATATATATATACATACATACACACACACACACATACATACACACACCTCCACTAATTTCCGATACCTAAAGTTTAAAAGGAATTTAAAAAAATGAAGAAGCATTCTTGAAGCTTTCATTGAAATCTCAATGATTAAATTTACTATTTCCAGTAAGCAAATAATCTGGTTTATTTCAAATAAAATACAAATTGATTGATTGAAACTTTTTGGTTACTTTCAGTAAAATCATTAAAATCGGCCATTTTTGACACATTTGTAAACAAAAGTTACTTAATTCAGTTTTAAAAATCTTCCAAAAATAAAATATACATTTCTGAAACTTTATTTGAGCAATATTAGCTGATTTAAAGTATAATTAATCTGATTTGAAAAAAATATTATTAACTTTAAGTTGAAAAGAACAGAGAAATATATTTTTAAAACAAAAAGTAGCAGTGATTTACGTGCTTTTCATCACTTGTTAATCCCTTAGCAAATACTGATAAGGTATTGACAGGTGTATGGACATTTTATCTGTTAAAATATAATTTAACAAAATGATAATGTGAGTGCCTTTTTTAAATAATTGTTAAGTACTCAGTAATCTTAAAAATGTTGTAAACTATTCTCCATAATCTAATTTTAGGAATGTTGATTTTAAATTTACTAGTCATTTCTCTTCTTTTGTGATAATGTCATGTATGATTGGGAATGTTACATAATATTTTATATACATAAAATTTTATATACATTAAACTTTTCAATTTTTGATTAGTAAATATATTTTTCACTTAATAACAACATCATCTAAAAGAAAGAAATTAATATAGAATTTTAAAAGAGTTAAAACTTTAGAAATAATTATAATTAAAATTTTAAAAAAATGAAAACAATTCTTGTAAAAATTCATTATTCATCAAAAATATTTTCTCTTTAGACAGTAGTGTTCTTAATAAATCTCATTTATCTACGCAATTAAAAGCTTTTTTAATTAAATAATGTCATAATTTTATTGCATTTTTTATTTTACAATTCAGAGCCAATTTTCGGGAAATGAGTAGTAGTTTGAAAAAAAAGAAAAAAACAGCGTTGATTTAAATTCTCTCAGGAGTCCTGCTTTTAACTAATAAAAAGCAAAATTTCTGATGAAAATTTAATGAAATTAAGTAACACGGGTAACATATGTAAAAAAAAAAATTCAAAAAATAATTTCATTCATTTTTGAATAAGTTCTGAAACTTTCATTATAATCCAATAATTATTTGATTTTTGCAAGAATTTCCAAATCTATGTGCTTTGCACTGGAAAAAGTGCAAAAAAAACTATTTGCAAATATTACATCAACATAAAACAAGATTTTTAACCAAAATTTCAAACATGCTAGAAAGGATTTAAAAATTTCATAAAATAATAAAAAAATACTTTGGTCTTTTCTCTTAGTAATAACAAATGTTTTGATGATAAAACTTTGTTTTTATTAAGTTTGGGGCCTTTTTTAATCATACTATGCTGTAATTTTGGTGAAAAATTGAATTTACCTACATATTATATATATATATATATATATATATATATATATATTATATTAAGTAATGGATTTTTCATTTATTAAACTGACAGATTTTTCTCACTTTAAACATTCCTTTTAGTCAATACTAATATCTGAGTAGACACACCCTTTATTTTAAACAGAGTATTTATTTTTGTCTACCATCCTGAATATTTGAGAAATCTTATTAAATAAAAAATATGCACCCTCTGGTATGATTCGAACCGGCCTTCACCTTTGCAGAAGAAATCATTGTTAGATATGTTGTGCTTTTTATTCGAGCTAGTGGATGAAAAAGAATTATTTTTCAGGAAAATTGGTTTCTCAAGTTCACTATCATTGCTCTTTCTAGTATTTATGGGAATATCCTTTCTAACCTTTTACTTAAAGTAGTGTAGAAAATCAACATATTGATTATATTATTTTCTCTTTTGTACTATCCATTTTAGTTGTTGCTGCTGTTGGAAGTCTTCAAATGATGTGGTTTTTGTTCTTTCTGATTCTGTACTACCAGTCTATGAGATCTGATGGAGGATTGTCTTCTTTAAGGCCTACAGAGGTCATTCATTTGAAGCCATTTTTAATAATTGATCTGAGAAAACCATTGTATATAACTGATAGTTTGTTTTTTTTTTTACACTGATATTCACCCTGTACAAGGCTTAGGTAGAGTGTTGCAGAGTTAGAGGCAGAATTTTTGTGGATATTCAAGTAAAATAATGGTTAACCTTAGACTTAAACAGGTTAAGATTGTAGTGATCTGAGAAGTACACTCTTGGGAGTTGGTTCCACAAAACAGCAGTGTTTTGTGATAAAAACAAATATGCCGCATATATAAGAAAAAATACTATTAAAAAATTAAATATAATTATATCATGTGAGTGTCTATTTTAAAATTTGGTTAATCCAGAATTAAAATATTTATTTTAATCTTTAACATTCTGGAAGTAATTTTGTTTACACAGCAAAAATTTTAACCTGCCACTGCAAATGACTCTGAAGAATGAATGATAGCGTGTTCGAATTTTGCAGTTGTGTTCTCATATCCTGCTATGACAACAGAAAATGACCATAACTGAAATTAAGTAGTTCAGTAGAGGAGCCTTGAAAAACAACGCAGTGGAAAGGAAAATAGTGAATAATGCACTGTGTTAAAGATTAACCGACTACAAGAAAAATGTAGATTAAAGTTTTAAAAAAGGAACTATAAAAATAATAATTGTTTTTTTGATATTGACTGAAGATGTATGACTATGAAGATAAATGTGGAGTAATAGCTGTCAGTACAATGGAATTGGTAAACCCAATTCAAATTCTGGAAGAAAATATTTGTTTATTTTGCATTAATTCCTTTTGGAAAAAGTTTTACCCTGTAGTTTTTGATATTGGAAGATATCTTGACCAGATATGGCATGTTGGGCTTACAGCCATATCATGTTGAAACATTGGTTCTCATCCAATCACTGAAGTTAAGTATCATCAAGCCTGGTTAGCACTTAAATAGGTGACCACTTAGGAATACCACATGGTGTATGCTTGGATGTGCATGTGGATTAATGGATAATGGCTCAAAATGAGAAATCGAAGAGTCGAGTTCAAAATCAAATCAGGTTCATTATATTTATTTACATGCAAATACATTTGGGAAAGTTATGAATCCACCTCTTCTTCCCCAGCTATGGATTAAATAGACTTGTATCAGAAATTTGTTATTATCTTTAAAAGTTATTACAATCCCAAAATATGTTCTGGCTTTAAATAACCTGCAAAAAAAAAATCAATCAAATTGCTGGCATGCCAGACTGCATGACTAAGCACTTGAGCATTCCACTAGCCTAACTGCTTCATGTACCTGGGTAGTATCAGTGAAATCTCTTACTTCCATTGTCAACCTTTACAGGATCCAGTAAAAAGCTTACTGGTTAAAATCTCCATGTATGTGATACTACCCAAAATTTCTGGGAATTGAAAGTGTGTCCTAATTTAATGAAGTACACATTTTTGCTGTTTTTCTTTGTGAGCCATGGAAACAACTTGAAAAGAGATTGGGGAAATTAAGTTTTAAGGTAAGTAATTTTTTTTTTCATGGTCTAATTCCCTTAACCTTTGTGTAGCATACAATACTTTATACTGAGTGGATATGGTCTTTGTGGTTAGGGTGTCTAGGCATATTTCCTGATTCCAACAACTAATTAAATGGAAATGCATGTGAGAATCTCAGAAAGTATATCTACTATTTTGGGAATCACTTTTTTTTTTCTTCTTTTAGTTCCTTTGTTATCAAAACTTTTTCCTACTTCTTTTTGTTCTTTGATTAGTTGCAGGAACTACTTTGTCTTTCTTTGAGATGGCCATGTCAATTAGTCATTATCATGACAAAGAAGAGTACCGTTCTTATTTGGTGTGAAATTGAATTATTCTTGGAACTTGTGTTCTCTACTGATGCCAAGAAAGAAAAAATAGAATGTGTTTCTTTCCTTTTTACTATTATTACTCTTCTTTTACTACTACTGATAATGCTGACTCATGAGGAACAAACAAATTTCATTTTATCTATATATGTATATATCTCTGTTGATCAGTAATTTAACACACTTGTGTCTCCATATAGTTGTTAGCAAGAAGGAGAGTGTGAGATACAAGCAAAGTATTGGAGACTTCAGAATTGAGCCAGTGAAAAAAATCTATCTGGAAAGTTTTATCAGAGATGATGAAAAATGGGAACAAAATGGACACTTGAACTTAAAATCAGAAAGAGACAATTGAAAGTTCTGTGGCACACAACAAAGAAAGGCTTGGAGAATTTGACAATCACAGGATATATTAAAGGCAAGTGTGAAGCATTAAATTATCTAACTGTTGAGATTATGTAAGTGGATGGTCAAACAAGGTCTCAGAGGATTAGTAAGTGGACTATTGTTTATGGCTACAAAGGATATGAAGTTTTGGAGAGTCATGATCACCAGCATCTTGAAAAAAATCAAAGTAAAATGGTTTCCATTTGTTTAATCAAATTCCAAGTGTATGTTTTTAATGCCTATATATTTAAACAAACATACGCGTAAAGAAATCTATGACAAAGTGGAAAAAGTTTTTGTGATGTATTTCATCCTTTAGGATTTCTTCAGACTAATGTGATGTTTACATTGATGCAACTACACATGTTCACAAAAGAAAGAGGATTACTTCAACTTTGAATTGTAATTGATTTTTTTTTTAAATATATATTTTGGATATGTTGTCTGATTTCATTTAATTTCTTTTTCTTTTTGCTTATGTTTTCATCACTTTTATTGTTAAATATTCCACATTGTGATAATAGATCTGTCAAGAAAGGTGAAATGTTGTTAGAAGCTGGATGTAAATTTACTGTGGATGGTCAAGGAATTAGAGCACTTTTTATACATTTTTGTCTTAGTAAATTGCTTTCTTTTTTAATTAAAGCAGAATTGTTAAATCAAAATTATGGTCAGACTTATTACAGTGATAAAATAATGCATTGAGTTTGTTTTTTTTGTAAAAGATCCCTTTTCTGCTCATATAATCTTTTATTTAAATTCCCTGTGGCTTCTCCTTACTTTTTCAGAGACTTCCCTAAAATTGTTCTTGATTCCATCTTGTACATTTATAAATCTCCTATCTGTCCATGCATTGACTATTGATGCCATATCTGGTCATGTTCTCCTACTATATATCTTGAAATTCTTAACAAAATCAGAAGGGTCTATAATGTAATTGATCCTGACCTGGCATCTTGACATCAGTCACTTTCCCACCACTGTGATGTGGCTTCCCTTTATCTTTTCTATCAATATTTCCATGGTGTCTTGATTGCATGAATTTAAGCATGCTACTAGATTGGCAACTAGGTCTCACTACATTACTATTAAAATAGCTAGATGTAACCATAAGTTCTACATTAATAGTTCTTTTCTTGCACTTCTCGCCTGTGGAACTATCTTCTGGTTCCTTACTTCCCTGCCACCTACGATCTTCAAAAATTTAAATGCATTGCTAATCACGGTCTTCCTAAGAACAAACTTCCAATGTTTTATTTTTATTTTCTCTGTGCACTTATTCTTTTATTGTCCTTTCTCTTCACTAAATCTTCTTAATCTTTTTCACTCCCAGTAACCATTGTCTTGTTTGGAGTAGAATGATTAAAAAAAGTGATATTGTCACTTCCCCATACATATACATATATATATATATATATATATAGGGAAGTGGTAATATCATTTTTTTAATCATATATATATATATATTTATTTATTTATAAGGTAGTATTTATTGACTTATCGACTTTGCCAGTGATGCACCTATTTTTTAATGATTCAAAGAAATTACCATTTTCTAGTGGTCCTTGCTGAAGCCTCTAACCTTCTCAAAATTTTCTCTCACTCACTCATGCATAATTATCATTTAAAACCCTAGAGAGAAAGAGAGAGAGGTTAATGAGTTGGTGGAAAATCTGAATAACATAATGAATAAGTAAAAGAAGAACAATGGAAGAGGTGAAGAGCCACTCCTGCCCAAACTTCAGGTGCTCACTTCCCCTCTTTCAAACCAGAACTTCTCACCGCAACCCTACCTCCCTTTTTCAGGTCTTGGGAACTGCTTCTTGTCAACCTCAATTTTGTATGCAAGAAGAAAAAAAGATTGTTTCCATTGAGTTTTGTTTCTCCTCCACTTTTAAAAAAAGAGAAATACAAATGAAGAAAGAAAAAAAAAATCAATGATAGAAGATAAAACTGGGAAAGTTTGTCTTGGAGTTTTCAGGCAGAAATATTTCAGCATTTTTGGGGCCCTGTTGGCTATTAATCTCTTGTGGTTGTCTCTGGAAAGAGATTTTAGGCATATAGATTAATTGAGTTTGTGGTTGGTTTGTAGATTTTGGAGAAGGGAAAGGAAGAAAATGAGAAAAAGATTCAAAGAAAAATCTGTTGAATAAGATCAACAGTTCTTGGTTTGGCAGAATTATTAGAAGCAAGAGTGTCTTGTCAATTAATGACTGCCAATTTATTTGCTGACTGGCTGATTTATTATTGATTCTAGTGTCTCTTGAAATAGGTCTTACCTTTCAAATGACTCATTCTTTTATATTTTATGTAACTTCTTCTCTATCTCTATTCATATCTACCTAGTTTTAGTCTATTTGTATCTTCCTCAATCTGTTCATACCTATATTTCTATCTTGACCTCTCCTTACTCCTCGCTGTATCTTGACCTCTCCTTACTCCTCGCTGTATCTTGACCTCTCCTTACTCCTCGCTGTATCTTGGCCTCTCCTTAATCAGATCACTTGCTCAGCCTAGCCATACTCATCAGTCTATTGATTCAATTCTTTCAGATCATTTTTGCCATCCTGAGTAAAATGATAAACTATGTCCAACAGCAAGGCCTCTGATCAGGAGGTTTTGAGGAGTGTGGAACCACCTCTTAATTGCTGGTGTTCCCAGGTCCACCCTATGAGCAAATAGTTAACCCTGAAACTGGGATAAAAACACATTGAAAGTGTAAAAACAGGTTTTAATATCAGAATTACTTTGTAAAAAAAAATATTTCCAGCAATAAATTTTTGAAGAAAAAACTATTGCCAGCAATAGTTTTTTGAAAAAAATTATTACAGCAACACATTTTTGAAAAAAAAAAAATATTACCAGATATAGATTTTTGACAAAACAAAATATTACCAGCAATGAAAATTTTGCTGGCATTAAATAACCCATTGGGGTTGATATGATGTAAAACAAACCAAACCAGATAATTTTTGTGTCACTTAATATTTGTCATATAAATTCAATTATTTACATCTATCTTTTGATTGTTCTTCTTTCATGTGCCTTGTCCCTTGAGAACATGGACAATAATGGCTCTCTCCATAATTTCCTATCCTTTGTAGCTCTTAGCAATATTATGTTTTTTTTACTATTCTGTCTACTCCTTTTTCTGCCATTCATTTACACAAGCTCATTCTGCCCTTCTTGCCTTCAATGTCATATGAGTGCCAAATTGTTTTTGTCCTTTTTGCCTTCAATGTCATATGAGTGCCAAATTCTTTCTGTCCTGTCTTCAATGTCATATGAGTGCCAAATTCTTTCTGTCCTGTCTTCAATGTCATATGAGTACAAAATTCCTTCTGTCCTGTCTTCAATGTCATATGAGTGCCAAATTCTTTCTGTCCTTCTTGCCTTCAATGTCATATGAGTGCCAAATTCTCCAAGGCTTCATTCCTCATCATGTGTCTAATAAATTTCAACTGTTTCCGATTCTAAGTATAAATGTCTTTTTTGCTCTCAGTGCTTACATACTCTGTCCATAGTATTCTCAGCATTTGCATGCAGAGCAATCTCACTATTATGTCAAGACATTGTTCTGTATTCACTGCCATGTCGGAGGATTAATATTACATTGCAGTTCAGCACTCTTTTTCTTTGTTTCTAATGAAATTTTCATGTTTCATAATAATTTGTTTCAATTTTGATTATTAGATTAATCTATCTTAACTGCCTACTTATTTATTTCTCTTTGTGCC